CCCCACTACACACACACACACACACACACACACACAGCAAGAGGTCTCAGCATGCCCCCGACCACATGATAGAAGGTCTCGGCATCCCCCCCCCCATACACACACATACAGGGCACAAGGTCTCTGCACACACACCCCAGCACGAGGTCTCGGCACCCCACACACACCGCCTCAGCCCCAGATCTCAGCGCCCCGTCCCCCCAAGTCTCAGCCCCCACCCTCCGCCCCAGCCTATGACACTTGGACACTTTGTATTCTCCTTTGCAAACAGGACAAAAATGCTGATGGGGGCTAGTGCCCCCGGTGTCTGTCCCTGAGAGTGGGGGCCCTCTCTCCTCTCCCTCCTGCACCGCTCCCTGTGGGGGGTCCGCTCGCCGGGGACATAGGAGTCCTAGACCCGGCGGGGTGGGGCAGACTGCGCAGGGCGAGGGGAAGAGATGTGTCTGTCTGTCTCCCTCCTCCTCCCCGGCAAGCAGAGGGTTAACACTTTCTCCGAAGGGGAAGCTGTCCGGCCCCATGCGAGGGGGGTGGGGGGGAGTAACCTTCGCCCCCTCCAGCTGAATTGGCGAGTTTGCGCCGGCTCTGTCCTCCCCTCCCCTCTCCCCCCCCGCCCCGTGGGTATTTAAGGCAGCGAGTGGGGCTGGTGGCACTTTAGAGCCCGGGACTAGGAGCCCAGCAGAGGTGAGGGCAGGGGGCAATGGAGATACACCCTAAGGAGTAACGGGGGGTGCAGCCCAGAGGAGAAGGGTGAGGGGCAGTGGGAGGGCCTGGGGATTGCAGCCTCGAGGAAGCTGGAAAGGTACAGGCTTTGGGGCAGGCAGGGTGCAGCCCAGAGGAGTGGGAGGATGGATGGGGGGTAGATCAGAGGTGGGGGCAATGGAGATACACCCTAAGGAGTAACGGGTGGTGCAGCCCAGAGGAGAAGGGTGAGGGGCAGTGGTAGTGGTGGGAGGGGCTGCGGATTGGAGCCGTGAGGAGGCTGGTGAGGGGCAGGCTTTGGGGCCGGTGGGGTGTAGCCCAGAGGAGAAGGGTGAGGGGCAGTGGTAGCAGTGGGAGGGCCTGGGGGTTGCAGCCTCGAGGAGGCTGGAAAGGTACAGGCTTTGGGGCAGGCAGGGTGCAGCCCAGAGGAGTGGGAGGATGGATGGGGGGCAGACCAGAGGTGAGGGCTGAGGGGCAGGATTAGGGGTAGAGTGGATGCAGCCCAGAGGGGTAAGGGCTTTCCCAGGGACAGGGGTGGTTGGCCTAGCAGATGGACCTGGCTTCCCACATGCTGTGCACCCTAGCTTGTATCCCCTGTGGGGGACCGATGGGGGGTGTTAGGTCCCACCCTCCCTGCCCTCATTCACCCCAGCCCCTTCCTTCTCTCCCTGCAGGCAAAGCTGCAGCCATGAAGGTTTTGATTGTGCTGCTCGGGGCAACCCTGCTGGCAGGTAAATGGCTCGTTCAGTTCATCTCCCCCACCAGGGCAGGGTTGGAAACTCCCCTTGGGATGTCGATCAGGAGTAACCCCATTGGAGTCATGGGGACTGGTTCCCCTTTCACGCACCACGGTGTAAATACCCCAGTGGGTAGGGGTCCTGCCTGGGGACTGCTGGTTTCTATCCCCAGCTCTGGGAGGGGAGTGGGGACTGGTGGGTTAGTGCTGGGAGCCAGGAATCCTGGGTTCTATCCCTAGCTCTGCTGCTGACTTGCCCATGACCCTGGGTGAGTCACTTAGGCTTTGTCTTCACTGTCAAAAGCAGGTGTGTTTTCCAATGGGAGAACCAACCCATGTTAGCTGTTACTATCAACTGTTACCATCAGGCAGTAAAGGCCAAGCCAAGCCTGTAATTTTACCATGAGATCAACCAGCAGCAGGGTGCAGCGCTGACCTGCCTAGCTACCTCCTGGTAACCAATCCAGGTGCCTTGTCTCCAACAGGATCGTACAGCAGGCTGGCGATCCCTATTGTGTGTTAGTTATTGCACTGTAAAAACACCACCTCTTGCTGTGAGGACACAGCCCCAACCCTTCCATGGCTTGTGCCTCACACAGCTTGTCTGGTCTCGTTTGACTGGTAAACCCTTTCGGGGAGGGACTGTCTCCTACTGTGTTTTGTACAATGCCTGGCACAACGAGGTCCCCGATCTCGGTGGGGGTCTGTGCAGCGCCCGGCATGACGGGGCCCCCGATCTCGGTGGGGGTCTGTGCAGCGCCCGGCATGACGGGGCCCCCGATCTCGGTGGGGGTCTGTGCAGCGCCCGGCATGATGGGGGGCCCTGATCTCAGTCAGTCTGTGCAGGGCCAGCCAGGGATACGAGGCTGGGTTAGATGGACACTGGGTCTGACCCCCCCATGTGGCTCCGGGGCCACAATGGCCTGGGTTACACAGGAGGTCAGACTCGACTCTTGACCTGCAAACTCTGCCCCTCCAGGCTGCCAGGCCAACCCGCTCGTCCAGGATGAGCCCAAGACTAAGTGGGAAGAGGCCGTGAGCGTCTTCTGGAACTACCTTTCCAAGGTGGGACATGCCGCGGACAACGTGACCGCCCAGATCAAGAGCTCCCAGCTCAGCAAGGAACTGGAGTGAGTGACCCTGCGGCTCAGCGTCTGTGGGTGAAGATGGGTGGGGCAAGGACACAAAGCAGCAGGGGCCTGTGTCCCCCTGGAGAGGATGATATCTCTGCTGGGGAAATGCCGGGCTTTGGCTAAGTGCCGGGTGCCAGGCTGTGCTGAGAAGCACCATGTTTGGCTGGTGCACACCACCCCTGTGGGTGTTGCTGACGCTTTGCCGTAATGGCGGGTGGGGAGCATTCCTAAAGCAGCATATGGGGGGATGCCCAGCCAAGGGCCACAACATGGGGCACAGAGGGGGTGATGTGGGGATCTTTGGGGAGCCCTCAGTGCCCTGATGGAGAGTGGGGTTTGGATGGGTATCACCACAGCCCTGCATGGGCTCATCATAGATCCCATGGCCGGGGTGGGGGGGTGCAAGCCAAGACGCCCCGGCTCTGACTCCCCGGTCCCTCCCCAGCGGGCTGATCACCGACACCATGGCTGAAGTGGAGGTGTACAGAGAAGAGCTGCGGACCCGGTTCGGCCCCTACGCCCAGGAGGCCCAGCAGCGCCTGGGCAGCGAGGTGGAGGCGCTGACGGGGAAGCTGCGGGCCGACATGGAGGAGGCCAAGGGCCGGGTGGTGCAGTACACGGGCGACGTGCGCTTGATGTTCAACCAGAACCTGGAGGAGGTGCGGGCCCGAGTTGGCATGTACCTGCGCAAGCTGCGCAAGCGTCTGGGCAAAGACACTGAGGAGCTGCGCCGCAAGATGGCCGCCTATGCCGGTGAGGTGCAGGCCCACACTGACCAGCAGGTGAATGCTGTGCGCCAGGGCCTGCAGCCACTAATCGACAGCATCCGTGACAAGGGACAGCAGCGTCTGGAAGCCCTGAGCCAGGCCATGGGTGAGCAGAGCCAGAAGGTGCGCGAGAGCCTGGGCACCCGGGCCCAGGAGCTGCACGGGCACCTGCAGGAGAAGGCGGAGGAGGTGCAGAGCTCCCTAGACCAGGCTGCTGAGCAGGTCCGCCAGTGGTTTGCACCTTTCCTGCAGGATGTCCGTGCCCAGTTACAGGGCCTGGTGGAGAAGCTGCAAGGGAAACTCCAGCTGTAACAGCCCCTGCTCACCCCACACTGTGGCCCCCTGACAGCCCAGAGCCCTGGCAATCCAGGGGCCTGCATTCCCAGGTCTCCCACAGTACAGCCCTGCCCACTAACACCAAGCTAGCCACGGAGGTCTGTGACTCCTGGAGCGAACAGGCATGAGTCACTTCACCTACTAAGCCCACTCCAGACCTCCCGCAGGGGCCCAGATCTTCATTGTCCCTGTCCACGAGCCCCAGTGTATAGACATTGCCACTCTGATCCTGCGCTCACACTTGGGACTGGTGGAAATGATGCCCATGAATCTGGCCCTGAACTGCTTTTGTGCACGCCCTGGAGACATGAGAGGGGATAACCTCCGCCCATCCCATTCTCCCCTCTCTAACCACAGCTGAACGTGATGCCCCTATCCGATCCCTGCTGTTAGATCTCCTGTGTTCACCAGTGCTTTCACCTGAAACTAAATAAATTCCTGCTTTGGGCACAAGGTACCAGGGGTCTTTTCTTCTTTATGACCTAAATTTATGAGACACACACATTCAGATCCCCAGCTGCTGTAAATCAGCCGTAGCTCCACTGAAGTCAATGGGGCCAGATCCTGGCCAACTGGCATTGTTCCATGGGCCACAGGTGCAAGAAGTCCTCCCATTGCTATCCCATATTGCACTGCTCCATTCAGAATTGTCTGATCTGGCCCCCTTGCTGCCGTCCACTGTCTAGGCTGGCATATGGATGTGAGCATGGCAGCAGGAGTGTAGAGAGGTTATTTTTACATCTGTATTTGGCACAGGTATGATCACTGCTGGAATACTGTGTGCAGTTTTGGGGCCCATAATGCAAGAAGGATACTGATAAACTGGGGAGGGTTCAGAGAAGAGCCATGAGAATGATTAAAGAATTAGCAAACCTGCCTTGTAGTGACAGACTCTCAGAGCTCAAGCTATTTAGCACAACAAACAGAAGGTTAAGGGGTGACTTGATCCTGGTCTGTACTAATGGGCTCCTCAGGTCTCACACACTCCAGTGGCTGGAAGTTGAAGCTAGATAACTTCAGACTGGAAATAAGGTGCAGATTTTTACTGCTGACAGTAATAAACCACTGGAACAATTTACCAAGGGTCGTGGTGGAT